GTAAATTATCACAATGTGCGACTGCAGAAGGTTTGACAGATTGTTCCATAACTCTAATAATTTTAGAGATATTGAAATAAAACTTGGTAAGTTAATGAAATAAGAATTTCAGATTCCCATAAGCTAAGAAAAATTTCCATAAGTTCATTATTTCGCGAGATATACGTTTTTAAAAGTTATCTAGCCTTTTTAGCTATTTAACTGTAATTCCAGGCGGGCCAATCATTTAGCCAAGTTTCCGATATATCATATGGTGAAACATTCATTCCAATATCTTTTATCGCTTTCGATTTATAACAATTTAAATTTAATATTAAATAAATATTACTCATACGCCACTTACCTGTTTTATAATAAATTAATATTACTCATACGTTTATTTCCAAGCTCTTTAAATCAAACACAATTTTATAAAAACATTTTTGTATAAATTTCTTTATTATTTATATATAATTTTGTTTTTGTTTTATTTAGTTTTTGTTTATTAATTTTAGCATTTTACAAAAAGCTTATAAGCTTTAAAGATTTGTTTCATAAACAAATTAAAATTGAATATTCATTAATAATTTTATCAATTAATTTTATTTCAGCGGTGTTGTTTTTTTCTTATATATTTTTGTTTATAAATTCTTATTTAATTTTATTTAAAGACTAAAATAAAAAAATTCCAAATAAATTTTTTTTATATAATTTTTTTTTTTTAATTTTTATTTCATAAACTAAGTGCACTATGCGTTTTTATTAATATTTCAATTTTTAATTTTGTTTTGATGCAAAAGGCTTTATTTTAATATATTTAGGTTTTCTTTTGGAATAAATAATAAAAAAGCGTTTTATTTATTACAAATAATTTAAACAATAGAATGGAGTTAATATTAATTTTATATTAATTTTGTGATTTATTTTACAAAAAAAAACATGTAACAAAAAGGTTCAACTACAGTCTTTGTTTTAATTTTTTTTTTGCTATTTTTGTTATCTTTTTCTTTATTATTTTTTCTTTTAAAATAAATTTTGTATAAATTAAAATTTTACAAATTGTTGTGTTATTTTTTGATTTCAAGTTGTTGTAATATTTTTTTTTAAATTTTTTAAAACAATATTTATGGTTATTTTTAGTTGGGTTCATTTAAGATTTAAGAGTGTGTCATTTTTTTTAAGTGGAAGCAGATTTTTGTTAATTATAATTTATGATTTTTTATTAATATTTATGTATTATTCCTGTATATTAGGGTGGTATGGTTTATAGAGCGCGAGAAAAAAATCATTCCCTACTAAACTAAAAGCTTAGTTGATTTCCGCTGAATTTTTCTCAAAAATTTATTTGTAACATCTTGCTATTAACAGCGCCACCCTAATATATCATAAATCATATAGTTATCTATGTTTGCTGATTATTATTTTAATTAGCTTTTAATTAATTTCGGTTTGTTTAGTATTCTTTTTTTTTTATTTACTAATTAATGTGCGCTAATTTGTGCTTAAATTAAATACTCTTTATGACCTTTAAATTATGTCATTAACTAAATATAAACTGATGAATTTTTAGACTGAAAATGAAATCTTAAACAATAGAGTTTTTCACATATGGATTTAAAATATTTAAACAAACGTTTAATTTGTATTTATAAAAGAGATCTAAAATATTGAATGCAAAATTTAATAAATGGAGGAGATCAGAAATGGCAAATTCTATTCTATAATAGACTGTAAAGACTAGACTATAGATTAGATTATAGACTGGTCTAGTCTACACTCTAGTTTAGGCTATAGTCTAGTCTATATTCTAGTCTAGGCTATAGACTAGACTACAGACTCGAATATACACTAGACTATGTAGTCTATAGTCTAGTCTATAGTATAGTCTAGAGCATATTCTATAGTAGAGTCTATAGCATAGTCATTGTATAGTCTATAGTATAGTCTATAATATAGTACATAGTCTATCCTAAAGTCTAGCCTATAGTCTAGTCTATAGTCTAGTCTATAGTCTAGTCTATAGTCTAGTCTATAGTCTAGTCTATAGTCTAGTCTATAGTCTAGTCTATAGTCTAGTCTATAGTCTAGCCTATAGTCTAGTCTATAGTCTAGTCTATAGTCTAGTCTATAGTCTAGTCTATAGTCTAGTCTATAGTCTAGTCTATAGTCTAGTCTATAGTCTAGTCTATAGTCTAGTCTATAGTCTAGTCTATAGTCTAGTCTATAGTCTAGTCTATAGTCTAGTCTATAGTCTAGTCTATAGTCTAGTCTATAGTCTAGTCTATAGTCTAGTCTATAGTCTAGTCTATAGTCTAGTCTATAGTCTAGTCTATAGTCTAGTCTATAGTCTAGTCTATTAGTCTAGTCTATAGTCTAGTCTATAGTCTAGTCTATAGTCTAGTCTATAGTCTAGTCTATAGTCTAGTCTATAGTCTAGTCTATAGTCTAGTCTATAGTCTAGTCTATAGTCTAGTCTATAGTCTAGTCTATAGTCTAGTCATAGTCTAGTCTATCGTCTAGTCTATAGTCTAGTCTATAGTCTAGTCTAGTCTAGTCTATAGTCTAGTCTATAGTCTAGTCTATAGTCTAGTCTATAGTCTAGTCTATAGTCTAGTCTATAGTCTAGTCTATAGTCTAGTTATAGTCTAGTCTATAGTCTAGTCTATAGTCTAGTCTATAGTCTAGTCTATAGTCTAGTCTATAGTCTAGTCTATAGTCTAGTCTATAGTCTAGTCTATAGTCTAGTCTATAGTCTAGTCTATAGTCTAGTTCTATAGTCTAGTCTATAGTCTAGTCTATAGTCTAGTCTATAGTCTAGTCTATAGTCTAGTCTATAGTCTAGTCTATATCTAGTCTATAGTCTAGTCTATAGTCTAGTCTATAGTCTAGTCTATAGTCTAGTCTATAGTCTAGTCTATAGTCTAGTCTATAGTCTAGTCTATAGTCTAGTCTATAGTCTAGTCTATAGTCTAGTCTATAGTCTAGTCTATAGTCTAGTCTAATTAGTCTATAGTCTAGGTCGTATAGTCTAGTCTATAGTCTAGTCTATAGTCTAGTCTATAGTCTAGTCTATAGTCTAGTCTATAGGTCTAGTCTATAGTCTAGTCTATAGTCTAGTCTATAGTCTAGTCTATAGTCTAGTCTATAGTCTAGTCTATAGTCTAGTCTATAGTCTAGTCTATCGTCTAGTCTATAGTCTAGTCTATAGTCTAGTCTATAGTCTAGTTCTATAGTACTAGTCTATAGTCTAGTCTATAGTCTAGTCTATAGTCTAGTCTATAGTCTAGTCTTTAGTATATTCTATAATCTGGTCTATAGTCTAGTCTATAGTCTAAGTTATAGTCTAGTCTATAGCCTAGTCTAGGCTATAGTCTAGTATAGGCTATAGTCTAGTATAGGCTATAGTCTAGTCTAGGCTATAGTCTAGTCTAGAATTGACGGAGACTTAAATATTTCTGAGGAATTTCTATACAAATTATAAATGATTAACATTTAATATAAAAAAGCAATAACGTTTTTATGTGAAATTAAAAATTTTAAAAACATTTAAAAGCAATATTTAATATGGGATTCGAAGTAATTTAAGTAGCATTTGTTTTAATGTATTAATTATCTTTATTTTATAAATTTTTATCAATTGAAAATTTCTTTTGTTATCACAGCAATAATTATAATTATTTTTTTTTATTTCTTAATAATGTTATCAAACGCTTTATATATTTTAAGATTATTATTATTTATTTATATTATTTATTCAAAATGTACAATTATTCAATTTCTTTATTATTTATTATCATCAATAATGTATTTATTATTGTTTTTATGTTATATTTTATTTTTTTTTTGTTTTTATGCAAAATTTCTGCTGTTAAGCCAATTATTTATTCATTTAATATTTACTTTTATAATAATAAATTATTTTAAAACAACCAGTAAATTATATAAAAATAAAAAAAATGAATTAAGAAATAATATAATTTAATATTAGTATATGCCAACTTTTTAGAATATTAAACAATTGGCAGTGATTTTTTTTTAACTTTTGGTTTTATTTATCAAAATGTCAACAAAAGTATTCAAGACCTAAAAATTAATCAACAACAATGCAGTTTTTTATGCATTAAAAAAAGCTATTTTTTTAAATTTAATGTTTTAATGTATGAAGTGTTTTTTCTTAATTTTTTATTGTAGTCATTTGGTGTTAAAGGTCAGAAGAGAGAATACATTTTGAGTCGGGTTGTCTCCCATCTTAAAATCGACTATAGTCTTGACTACATATAGTCTGAACTATGGACTATTTCAGAACTGTCTGGGGTATAGAGAAGACAATAATCTGCACTATATATGATAAATTATATTAAACTACGTTATGGACTACAGATTATACTATAGACTGGACTATGTACTAGACTTTAGACTAAACTATGGGCTTGACTAGGGTTTGGAATATAGACTTGATTATAGTTTGGACTTTAGACTTGACTATAGTTTGGACTTTAGATTTAACTATAGACTGGACTATAGACTTGACTATATATAGTCCAATATATAGACTTGACTGTAATCTGAACTGTAGACTTAACTATAGTCTGAACGATAGACTTGTCCATATTCTGTACTATAGACTTAACTATAGTCTGGCCTATGGACTTGACTAAGGTCTCGACTTTAAACTATAGTCTGCAATATACTATTGTTTGGACTATAGACTATACTTCGGACTGGACTTTAGATTAATACTACAATAATGTTCTGGACTGAGCTTTAGACTAAACTGTTATGTGGACTATAGACTAAAGTAGGTTCTGGATTAAACTTAGATTACACTAGAATAATGTTCTGGGCGATAGATTACAATGGAGTATGTACTATAGAATAGACAGTATTTTGGACTGTAGTCTAGACTATTGACTTGACTATAGACATGACTATAGTCCGGACTTATGTTAAGTCTATAGTTTGGACTAGAGTTAACCATAGTCTGGACTATATAGTCGATTATAATGTGGACTATAGAGGTAACTATAGTCTGGACTATATAGTCGACTATAATGTGGACTATAGAGTTAACTAAAATATGGTCTGCACTATAGTCTATCTATTGACTAGATTAAAGTCAGGACTATTGACTAGATTAAAGTCAGGACTTTATATATAGTTTGGCTCGACTATAGTCTCAACTATACTATAGGTTGGACAATAGAGTTGACTATATTCTGGAGTATAAACTTGATTATAGACAAGAATTTAGAACCGACTATAATCTATAACTCTTTCTGACTTTTAATTTTAATTTAGTTTTACTTAATTTAATTTTTATTTTTATTTTTTCATTGTAACAAAAGCTCGTTTTTTATACTCAACAATTTCTTAAATTTAATTATTTTTTTAACAGGTTTAACCATAAGCACATTTTTGATATATTTTTTATACATTAATTTTCATTTTTAAGTTAAATTAAAAAAAATATATAAAATCAAAATTTTAAAAAATCCAACAAATCTTTAAAAACCATTGAAAATATCTTACTAAACTAAATAAATAAATTTCTTTTAAAAATCACTTTTTTGTACTCTTCTCAAATATGCGAACGATAAATGGTGGGATCTGTAAAGAATACCGATAATTTACGTTTGAATTTTTCCATGCGTGGCTCATGGTCCGATTCTGATTCACAACTGTCATCGCTGTCATCGTCACCGCCAAAGATAACGGTACGTGGTGCGGCTGGTTGACCATCTGTTTCACAGAAACCAGGATTTAATATAATATTCGGTATCAATTCGATGCTATCCCAACCATCCTCAAATTCTGTTAACAGGGTGTGGGTATTTTTGTAGCATAAAAATTAGGGGGAGTAGAAAGAAAGAAAAAACACATTGTTGATTTGGGGAATTGGGTGGATGTGTTGTTTAGAAAGGTTGGTAGTAGGATGGAATAAAAATGTTTGAAAGGAAAAATATTTTAATTTTTTTTTTTTAAATACAAATTTTTGAATTTAATTGTTAAATTGTGTCCAAAAATTTTTAAAAGCCAAAATATCGTTTAACATTTGTTTAGAGAAAGATAAAAAGAAATAGGAAGAAAAAGACGGATAGTTACAGATAGAGAAAGATTTAGTTATAGTTAATTCTATAGTTTGTTTATTTTTAAGTTTTTTTTTTCTGTATAGAACTCTCACACACACAACACAAACATTGAACACATAAAAAAGCGTTTTTTTTCTCTTCTAAGTAGAGTTTTTATTCTTTTAAATAAATTGAAACTTTTTATTGAATATATATATTTTTCTGTATAATATTTATGTAATTGCAAAAAACAGAAAGAAAATAAGTAAAACTAAGTATTTTTAAAGTATTTATTATTATAATAATATTTGGTGAAGTTATATTCATAAGTTCATGACGATGATGTTGATGGTAGAATGTTAATATTTACAGGGTGTAGCACAAGATTATTAAAACGACTGCTCGAAAAGCTCGAAAGCTCTGTTTTACTTTAGCATTTTTCATTTGAGATTAAACTACTTAAAAAGCTCTAAAATGCTTTCTTTTTAAATTTGTCGTAAAAGCTTAAAAAGCTATATAAAGCTTTCTATTCAAATTTTTCGTAAACTAGTGCAAGATCAGTTTCAAATAAGAAATCAAGATTTCAAACTCGAAAGCTCTCATGGTCAAATTGTTTTACTTTTACATTCTCAATTTGAGATTAAACTACTTAAAAAGTTCTAAAAAGCTTTCTTTTTAAATTTGTCGTAAAAGCTTAAAAAGCTATATAAAGCTTTCTATTGAAATTTTTCGTAAATTATTACAAGATCAGTTTGAAATAAAAAATTGGGTTTTCAAACTTTTCTATAAGAAAGATTAATTGATTAACTTTTCTTTAAGAAAGCTTGATTGACTAACTTTTCTTTAGAAAAGCTTGATTGACAATGTTGTATTTAAGAAACCTTGTCGCATGACTGACAATGTTTTCTTTTACCCAACAAAAACAAAACCCCTAAAAAAGCTTTTACTATTCAATGAGCTTTATGAATAGCATTAAAAAAGCTTCAATTTAAAATCATTCTAAATTCAAGTTTAAACTAATTAAAAAGCTTTCTTTTTAAATTTATCGTAAAAGATAAAAAATTGTTGCAATATCAGTTGCAAAAAAGAAATCTTGCTTTTAAACTTTTTAATAAAAGAAAGCTTGATTGACAAAGTTTCATTTAAGGAACCTTATCGACAAATCATTTTCTTTTGTTCGACAAAAACTTACAAAAAAGCTTTTATTCTAAAATATATTTTTTAATCGTTACAAAATCAGTTTTAACTATAAAATAAAACATCAAAGCTCTATGTAAGTTGCGTTACTTTGGATAAGCTATTTAGAAAGCTTTAAAAAGTCTTTTACAACATCCAAATTTGAGATCACTTTTCCAAGTTCGTGTCATTAATTCAAATGGCTGTTCATAAAGCTTCAAAGAGAAAACATTTTACATTTAAGATCCTTTTTAAGTATTAAAAAGCTTTAACTTTAAATAGTTCATACATTTTTTCATTATCATTTTCATATATAAATAAATGTTTTGTTGCTTTGAGCAGGTATTCGGTATGCTGTAAAAAAAGCTTTTACATATGACAATTCTTAACAATATTTTTCTATTCAGAAAGCTTTTAAAAAACTGTTACAGCATTCAAATAAGAATAAGAAAGCTTTTTCAGCTTTTTTGTTTCAAATTATTCTATGTTTCAGATTTAACTATTCAGAAAGGTCTAAGCAAGCTTTTAATAAGTTTCTATCAGAAATTTTTACAGAGTTTAGTTTAAGATCGAAGTTCTATTAAAACAGCTTTCTAAATAACCTCTCATAAAGCTTGTTTAGCTTTCATTTCGCAAGATAAAATAAACTCTTTATTACTTCGTGCAGCTTTCTAAAAAGCATAAGAAGTTCCAAAACGGTTTTTTCTTTTTGTTTTACTAAAAAAAATTATCATCTCCTTTTGCACACACCCTGTAAAATTTCTTCTCTTGATATATACATTATTTTCGTGCTGTGTATGTGTTATGAATAAAAAGCTGCTACAAATATTCTATATTCTATTAAAGCTGTAATAACTATATGTATCTATAAGCGTTATAATGTTATGAATCTGTGTATATATGTAGTATGTAAAGTATGTGTAAGAAAAAGTTTGGTCGATGTTGGGTTTTTTTTTTAAAGTTCCTAGATTATTAAATGAATATATTGAAGTAATTTACTTTTAATACTGTATAAAGTTATTATATACATATTTTATAATTGGGATTATATTATTATCAGTAGATTGTCAAATTCGAATCAATTATGTTCCTGTTCAAACAAAACTTTCTATAACAAAACTTGTGGGACAAAGCTTTCTACAAGAAAACTTGATTAGTTTTCTGTAAGAAAACTTTATCAACAATGTTTTCTATAAGAAAACTTTACCAACAAAGTTTTCTATAAGAAAACTTTACCAATAAAGTTTTCTATAAGAAAGCTTTATCGACAATGTTTCTATAAGAAAACTATACCGACAAACTTTTCAATAAAATCTTAAAAACTTTGAATGGTCCTCTTAAAAAAATTTTGCAATTTTTGGTCATAGCTCTTAACTATAAAACTAAATTTTATTTAATTTAATAAATGAATGAAAAAATTTGGCATATTTTGTGTGATAATTGTTTTTGTGGATGTAAAGAATACAACCTTTTTTTCGGAAATTTAAAATGATTGTCTCGTTTTTTCTTTTTTTTTTTTTTTTGGTTAAAGTGTGAAACCGATACATTTGGCAAAATATATTTTTATACATTTTTTATAGATAATAATTGTATTTATAATTTAACATACATATAATGTAACAAAAAACAAACATATTTACACATAGAATATTTCACATAAAATTTCATCTTCAAACATTGTCACAAAACGTTTGGTTCTAAAAACCATTAAAAACAAAATAAAAAAATTTTTTTTTTCTTAGTTGCTATTGCAAAAAGACATTTAACATCAAAGCTTTTTTGTTTAACAAAAAATAAAATTTAACAAAAAACACATACACATAGAAACGATAAAGTTTTTACAACAAAAAGCAATGATTTTGCAATATATAACCCAGCAAGATTCTGAACTATAGACAATATAATCTATACTATAGTCTGGACTATAATCAATGCTAAAGCGTGGACTATAGCCTATACTATATTCTGGACTATAGTCTATAATATAGTCTGGACTATAGTCTATAATATAGTCTGGACTATAGTCTATACTATAGCCTGGACTATAGTCTATACTATAGCCTGGACTATAGTATATACTATAGCCTGGACTATAGTATATACTATAGACTGGACTATAGTCTGTGCTATAGTCTATACTATAGTCTGTGCTATAGTCTATACTATAGTCTGTACTATAGTCTATACTATAGTCTGTACTATAGTCTGTACTATAGTCTATACTATAGTCTATACTATAGTCTATACTATAGTCTGGACTATAGTCTATACTATAGTCTGGACTATAGTATGTACTATAGTCTAGACTATAATCTATACTATAGTCTGGACTATATAGTCTATACTATAGCCTGGACTATAGTCTATACTATAGCCTGGACTATAGTCTATACTATAGCCTGGACTATAGTCTATACTATAGCCTGGACTATAGTCTATACTATAGCCTGGTCTATAGTCTATACTATAGCCTGGACTATAGTCTATACTATAGCCTGGACTATAGTTTATACTATAGCCTGGACTATAGTCTATACTATAGCCAGGACTATAGTCTATACTATAGCCTGGACTATAGTCTATACTATAGCCTGGACTATAGTCTATACTATAGCCTGGACTATAGTCTATACTATAGCCTGGACTATAGTCTATACTATAGCCTGGACTATAGTCTATACTATAGCCTGGACTATAGTCTATACTATAGTCAGGACTATAGTCTATGCTATAGTCTGGACTATAGTCTGTACTATAGTCTATACTATAGTCTATACTATAGTCTGGACTATAGTCTATACTATAGTCTGTACTATAGTATATACTATAGTACAGACTATAGTATATACTATAGTCTGGACTATAGTCTGGACTATAGTCTATACTATAGTCTGGACTATAGTCTGTACTATAGTCCAGACTATAATCTATACTAGAGTCTGGACTATAATCTATACTATGGTCTGGACTATAGTCTATACTATAGTCTGGACTATAGCCTATACTGTAGGCTATACTATAGTCCGGACCATAGTCTTAACTATAGTTATACTATAGTCTTAACTGTAGCCTTAACTATAATCTTATTATAGTCTAGACTATAGTCTTAACTATAATCTGGACTATAGTCCTAACTATAGGACTATAGTCTATACTATAGTCTGGACTATAGTCTATATTATAGTCTGGACTATAGCCTATACTGTAGGCTATACTATAGTCCGGACCATAGTCTTAACTATAGTTATACAATAGTCTTAACTGTAGCCTTAACTATAATCTTATTATAGTCTAGACTATAGTCTTAACTATAATCTGGACTATAGTCCTAACTATAGTCTGGACTATAATCTTAACTATAATCTGGACTATATACTTAACTAAGTCTGGACATTAGTCTCAACTATAGGCTTTACTATAGTCCACACTGCAGTCTGAACTATAGCCTGGATTATAGTTAGAACAATAGTCTGGGCTATGGTTAGGACTATAGTCTTAATAACTATATGGTCTTTACTAAAGTCTGGCTATAGTCAAGACTATAGTTATTTTAAAAAATATTGCTGGTTATAAATGCATCTATATATTTCATATCTTTTTTTTGGTAAATAACTGTAAACACAAAAGAACACTATTTACAGCCAAAAAGTGAAAAAGAATCAAATTAAAATAAAAATTTTAACCAAAAGACACACAAAAATTTTGATTTAAGCATTAACAACATCCACAATAATATGTTGATGCTGCTGATGATGATGATTCTCGGGATCATGATTATTATGATCACCACTATCATCATCGACAACAACAATAATATTATTTGAAACATCACTACTACCATGTCTAGTATTATTAAAATATGAAATTTTTTGATTATTTTGATTGCTATTAATACAAATAGAATTAGTTTCAGTACCCGCTTGAGATGATTGATAGCACTCTTTGGT